GCTGCGGTGTCCACCACAAAATTATTTCCTTCTGTTCTGCCAGGAGATCCTAGCGGTGATTCTTGCTCGTACGCGGTAAAAAACATGCGCACGTGGAAACACTTGCACCCTGCTGGGTGCCATGGTGTCTGCCGAAAAATAGTTTCCTTCAATTCAGACAGAACATTCTGGCCGTGATTCTTACTCGTACGCAGAAAAAACATGCACCCGATGGCATTCTATGCGCCCTTCAGTCTGCTGTGTTGTGCGCCTTAAAATACTTGCCTTCAGATCAGTCAGAAGGTTTTGGCGGTGATTCTTGCTCGTACGCAGGAAAAAAACATGCGCACGCCGGAATCCCATGCGCTCTGCTGTCTGCCCCTGTGTACAAAGAAAAATACTTTCCTTCAGTTCAGCCAGAAAAATCTGGCGGTGATTCTTGCTTGTACGAGAAAAAAGAGAAAAAACTGGCGCACACTGAAATTCCATGCGCTCTGCTTTAGACCTTGGTGTCCACCAAAAATAAATTTCTTCAGTTCAGCCAGGAGACTGTGGTGGTGATTCTTGCTCGTACGCGGAAAGAAAAAAAAACATGCGCATGCTGGAATCCAATGTGCAGTGCTGTCGGTCACGGTGTCCGCCGAAAAAGATGTTCCTTCAGTTCAGCCAGAAGATTCTGGTGGTAATACTTGCTCGTACGCGCGAAAAGCATGCACGCGCTGCAACTCCATGCGCCATTCTGTCTGCTATGGTGTGCGCCATAAAATAATTTCCTTCAGGTCAGCCAGGAAATTCTGGTGGTAATTTTTCCCCGCACGCAGAACGAAAAAAAAACATAGAAAGCCGGAATGCCATGCACTCTACTGTCTGCCATGGTGTACTCTAAAAACTATTTTCCTTCAGTTAAGCCAGGCGATTGTGGTGGTGATTCTTTCTTGTACACGGAAAAAACATGCACCCACTCAAATTCCAAGCGCCCTTTGGTCCGCTATGGTATGCGCCTCAAAATACGTGCCTTCAGATCAGCCAGAAGATTTTGGCGGGGATTCTTTCTAGTACACAGGAAAAAAAAACATGTGCACGCTGGAATTCCCTGCGCCCTGCTGTCTGCTGTGGTGTCCACTGCAAAATTATTTCCTTCAGTTCTGCCAGGAGATCCTAGCGGTAATTATTGCTCGTACGCGAATTCCTTGCGCCCTGCTGTCTGCCGTGGTGTCTGCCGAAAAATAGTTTGCTTCAGTTCAGCCAGAAAATTTTGGCGGTGATTCTTGTTTGTACAAAAAAAAGAGAAAAAAAATTGCGCACGCTTCAATCCCATGCTCTCTGCGTTTTTCCTTGGTGTCCACCGAAAAATAAGTTCCTTCAGTTAAGCCAGAAGATTGTGGCAGGGAGTTTTGCTCGTACGCGGAAAGAAAAAAAAAACATGCGCATGCGGGAATCCAATGCGCAGTGCTGTCGGTCATCGTGTCCGCCGAAAAACATGTTCCTTCAGTTCAGCCAGATGATTCTGGAGGCACTACTTGCTCGTACGCGAAAAAAAAAGCATGTGAATGCTGGAACCCCATGCGCTCTGCTGTCTGCCGTGGTGTCCGAAGAAAAGTACTTTCGTTCAGACAAGCGAAAAGATTCTGGCTTTGATGCTTGTTCGTACGCGGTAAAAACATGCGCACACTAGAAAACCATGCGCCCCACTCTCTGCCATGGTGTTGGCCGAAAAATACTTTCCTTCAGTTCAGCCAGAAAATCCTGGCGGTTATTCTTACTCGTGCACGGGAAAAAAACACGCTCCCACTTGAAGTCCATGCGCCCTTCTGTCTGCTGCGGTGAGCACCTTAAAATACTTTCATTCAGTTCAGCCAGAAGCTCCTGGTGGTGATTTTCGCACGTACATGAAAAAAAAAGCATGCGTACGCTGAGATACCATGCGCTTTGCTGTCTGCCGCAGTGTCCGAAGAAAAATACTTACCTTCAGATCAGCCAGAAGATTCTGGCGATGAACTATGCTCGTACGTGAACAGAAAAAAACATGCGTATGCCGGAATCCAACGCGCTAGTGCTGTCGGCCGCCGTGTCCCCCTTAAAAACGGGTTCCTTCAGTTCAGCTAGAAGATTCTGGCGGTAATTCATGCTCGTGCACGAAAAAAAGCATGCGAACTCTGGAATTCCATGCACTCTGCTGTCATCCGTGGTGTCCTCTATGAAATAATTTCCCTCTGTTCAGCCAGGCAATTCTGGCGATGATTCTTGCTCATACCCCGTAAAAAATTGGCTCGAATCTACATGTTAAACTGAAAATGTCTTTGAAAGACGATAGTCTTGCGTTTGGAGAGAGGGAACAAAACATTGATTTGATGTTCTGCGCAAGAAAATCGGCGAATGGTATTCTGCAGGCGCTGCGTTAGAGTGCCTCGAGCGTGTGGTGGAAGTGAATGAGCGAATCTAGGCATGTTAAACACAAGTGTCATCTGGCAGTTATTTTCGAAAACGAAGGCGTGCACCCAACGTAAAAAGATGCGCGCCAGTTTTGGAGGTTATAGGGTGTAGAACGCAAAGCGACGGGCAGGTGCCACCACCGTGACGTGGTAGCAAAGCGTTGGAAACACCTTTTTTAGCATCGCGTTGCACTGTCAGCGCAGCGCGATTAAACGCTACATTCCTCAGAGTTACTTGTGTGTGCCTCTTCTAGTATAAAGGCAGACATAGAAAACATCGAAGCATTGTTGTGGCGCCTCAGATATGCGCAATAATCGCACAACTATGAACGCGTTAACCTTGAGCAATATTGGTGGGCGCTGCGAATGGGGTTGGCCGTTTAATACCGTTTGGTGTATCGTTAGGGCGGGCAAGCAGACAAATGTACAAACAGACAGACAGACAGACAGACAGACAGACAGACAGACAGACAGACAGACAGACAGACAGACAGACAGACAGACAGACAGACAGACAGACAGACAGACAGACAGAGAGACCAAAATTTTTTCGTCGAAGGTCCCCAAGAAAGACTATCATCTTTAAAAACATGCACACGCTGAAAACTCATGCGCCCTGCTGTCTGCTGTGGCGTCTGCCGAAAAATAACTTTCTTCTGCTGAGACAGACCATTCTGGCGGAGATTCTGGCTCGTACGCGAAAAAAATATGCGCCCGTTTGAATTCTATTCGCCCTTCTGTCTGCTCAGGTGTGCACCTTAAAACACTTTCCTTCATTTCAGCCAGAAGATCCTGGCGGTGATTCTTGATCGTATGCGGAATAACAAGCATGCGCATGCTCAAATCACCTGCGCCTTGCTGGCTGCCGTGGTGTCCGCCGAAAAATACTTTCCTTCAGTTCAGCCAGATGATTCTGGTGGTGATTCTTACTCGTATGCGGAAAAAAATCCTGTGCATGCTAGATTCCCATGCGGCCTGCTGCCTTCCACGGTGTCTGCAGAAAAATATTTTCCTTCAGATCAGCCAGAAGATGCTGGCAGTGAATCTTGCTTGTACGCGATAAAAAAGCATGCGCTCGGTGGATTCCCATGCGTTGTGGTGTCTGCCATGGCGTCCGCAATAAAACTCTTCTTCAAATCAGCAGAAGATTCTGCCTGTGATTCTTGCTCGGATGCGATAAAAAATATGCGCACGCTGGCATTCCATGCGTCCTGCTGTCGATCTGCTGTGGTGTCCACCGAAAAATACTTCTCTTCAGCTCAGCCAGAAGATTCTGGCAGTGATTCTTGCTCGTACGCGGGAAAAAAACATTCCCACGCATCCTGCTATCTGCTGCAGTGTCTGTCGCAAGCATCTGTACGCAAGCATCTGCACGCAAGCGGTAACTTGTGCCAGTAATGCACAACCGCCAAATCAGCAGCCAACAAGCAAAAGCCACATTGATTAAGGCTGTGTTCCAATTCTTCGACAGCACGTAGATAGTCTACGCAGACTGCTTAGAAGACCGCACCGAGCCCATGCTGTCCGAGAATCGGAACACGTTTAGAGAGCTTTTACGCGATATTGCGCCACCTTGCGTTGAGAAAAAAAAACTAGAAAAAACAAACGTAACAGCTGTAATTACTACCTTGTTTCGTGTTGAAATCAAAACCAAATGCTTTTTACGCACATTGAGCGTCTGGGAAAGCGTCTGCTTGTGTGCAGACGGCCATTCTGGCGAGATATGATCTATCTGAGCTAGAGTGTACTAGAAGTGTTGAGTGGCATGACCGCACCTCGACGCCTGATCCCTTCCGCGTTGCCCGCAGTGGCAGCGCTACAGTCGAATGCAGGAACTGCTATGCGCTTCGGCTCCTCCGAAGCGCATGGCAGTTCTTTCACTATAAAAGTCTTTCAATATAAAGTTCACAAACTTCGCGATAACCGGACGACATTTGTTTGGTGAAAGACTGCCTATACGATGTGCCCGTTCGATTAACCAGAGGGAAGTGATGGTTATCACTTGGTTTAGAATTGTAGTCAATTTAGTTTGAGTTTGTTGCCAGGTTTCTTTTGAGTCAGGCAACCCATAAAACAACAAGTTGACACGGCGTGAACGGTTTTCGAGTTCATCAATGCGCGACTGCAAAAGAGCATTTTGTGTGGCTAAAGAACCAGCAGTGGACTGCAATTCCGAAATTTGCGCACCAAGGTCATCCACAGCACTAGATGTTTCCTCCAGGGCGTTCAGTCTTTGTTGTATGTTCGAGACATTCGTTTCAATAGTCTTTTGCCCGGTTTTAATACTTTTGATGTCTGCCACAATCTCAGCCTGAAATTTAGAACTTTGGAGCGAGCGGGCATGAACATCCCTCAGTAACCAGAAAAGAACGTCCATCTATTCGGGTTGTCAGGCAAGCTTTCAATGTCAAGAAGTGCTTCTGAGCGAGTAGTGGGACCGCGGTTGGATTCAATGTCACCGCAGCACAGTAATATTACCGCCATAGAAAAACACTCCGACAAAGTTTCACGCAACACCCGTGGGCACGGGAACAGCAGGGTACAACGGTCATCGGTTTTTCTCGCATACAGCGAAAAGTGGTTACACACCTGCATGATGAAAAGTTGCCGATTAGGAGCCGCTCTGAAGGTGCTGCTCCCTTGCCCACTGAAGAGTGCGTTGGCGTGCCAGCTGCTTAAATCCTCAAGAGCTGATGATGCAGTCGTCCATTGGCCTGCCCGGAGGAAGGCGAGTTCGGTAGGTGAGTGTCGTTCATGGGCGATCACGCAACAGGTTCGCGCAATTGACACAGCACCCAGCTTGTCATTCGATGGGGTCGCTATCGGCAGCGCGCAACTGATGCCGGGAGATGCGCTGAACACAGGCGACAGCCACGAAACGAGCATAGCAGGCAGGATCTTCAGAGATGCCGACTCAACCAGTGACAATCCTGTAAAGGTACCGCCAAAAGTGATCCCTTCACACGTGCCAGCTGTGCTGGTAGTAGATTAAAACAGAATGAGAGACTTTATCAAATACTTTTGAGAAATCTAGAAATATGCAGTCTGCAAAAGATGAGCGATCAAGATAGGCATGCATATGGTGTGTAAATGATGTTAATTGCGTTTTGCATTAATACGATTTGTGAATTCCGTGCTGAGACTGCGTGACAAAGAAGTTCAATTCGAGATAGTTGGCAAGATTAGAAAATAATACATGCTCGAGAAGATTACATGGAATGCTGGTGAGTGAAATGGGTCGGTAATTAAACGGAGAATGCTTGTTACCTGATTTAGGAAGTTGAATCACCTTCCCTATCTTCCATTCAGCCGGGATGGAACCTGTGTCAAGTGATTGTCGAAAGATTTTGGTAATTATGATGAAATTGTAAACACTCGTGCTGTTCAGAAACTTCGGGCTGATTGTGTCGCAACCAGGGGGAGAAGAAATTTTTAATTTATTGATCAGGCATTCTACGGCACTCCGATCAATTATTATCGGATGCATTGGGGACGGATTACGACACTGCGTGATCGATGGTAAAACAATGGTCAATGATGAAAAATTCTAACAAAAACATCTTTAAGGACAGAAGCACACTTTTCAGGGGCTATAACGTTTCGGGCGACACAAGGAAGGTCTTGCACCCATACATACTTTCCTGGCTACAATGGTCGCATTTCCCAAACCGCATGATGTCTGTTGAAGTTGCGTGCTTGCTTTCCCCTCGCTTCCTTATCCTTCTTTCGCGCTTAGGAAATAGGAGGCCACTTTGGAATGAGAGCTTCGTCAATTTCGGGATGCGTCGTCTTTAGACGTCTGCCCATCATAAGTTGAGCCGGGCTGTAGCCTGTTACTCCAGGAGTGTTTTGATATGCCATCAGAGCCAGATAGATGTCTTTTGATTTCAGAAAAATATCTTTGAGCATACGTACCATCCGCTCAACTTCTCCAATTGCTTGTGGGTAGCGCGGACTTGAGGTAATGTGGCGAGAAACCGTACGCTTTGCTGAAGTCCCTGAAAGCTTCCGATGCAAATTGCGGTTCATTGTCGGAGACGACCACTGAGGGGACTCCGAAACGAGCAAAGCAGCTCTTTTTTTATTAAATTATGTAAGGAGAGGTTGGTGCCAATGCGTGGCGCCGGCTACTTCTCATTTCTTGCACAAAAGTCAACATCGCACATTCAGTAGCAAACACAAGGCTATACATAGCACAACACTTACACAATGAGTTCACGTTTTTCCGCACTGAGTGTCCTCACCACACAGAAATGAGTCCAAACTGCGGAGAGCTGTGTCCGCACCACACTGAGTTTGTAAAAAAAACAACAAAAGAAATGCACGCAAGTAATCACGCCAATTTAAGTGTTCACACAAAAACGTGAAAGTTCAATAAAACGTCTAAGGTGATTTTGTCACTTAAATACTGACATGTTTTCAGAAAGATTTTCCCAAAAATATTGTGGTGAAGCAGGAAAATACTGTTTTGAAACATACCGCGGTTAACATTTGTTTTTGTTTAGTACTTTTGAGCTATTTCTGATTCCTCTAGAAAGTGAACTACTGCACGTGCTGCAGTGGCTTGTAGCTTTCCTTTTGGCCATGGACCCAAGATTTTTGCAATTGATGGAGGTCATTTATCTAAAGAATTGAGTTTTTGAAAAAGGTTCTTTCGAGGTACGTCATGATTTTTACAATGCAGAAGATTAGGCTCCACGTCTTCTTGAGCTTCTCCACATGAGCAGGTGGGAGTGCCAGCTCTCCTTCTTCTATACAGGAAAGCCTTCGTGTACGCTGTACCAAGTCGAAGCCTATGGATGACTGTTTCTATCGATCGGCTAACCTTTAACGGAATATTCAATCCTATACCAGGATCAATGTTATACAACGGAGAGTTTTGCGCACCATTTTCGAACCAGGTTTCCTTAGACAGTTGACAGCTCATCTTATGTACAAGGCAGCGTGCATCGCTCATCGATATATTATTTTCTTCATGTGCTGCACGTGCAATGTGATCAGCTATGTCGTTTCCTGTGATTCCACAGTGGCTTGGCACGCACTCGAACATTATAGTGTGGTTTAAATCTTTTGCTATAGCGTACGTCCTCTGTATTTCATATGCGAGCTCACTAGCTTTGTTTCCCAAGCTGATTCCTTTTAAAGAAACTAATGAGGACTGTGAGTCACTGATAACTACCCATCGAAGTGGACCTGGCTGTAAACATATGAAGCGTAAAGCACAGAGTATCGCATAGAGTTCTGTCGTTGTGGATGTTCTGAAATGGCTGAGTTTAAAAGCTTTTTTTCGCTTGGTATGCAGGTACAAAGAATGCCGACGTAGAGCTTTGATTCAGACATGATCCGTCGGTGTACACGTGAATATAGTCTTCATAGTTAGTATAAATGTGTGTTAAAGTTAATTGCTTTATTGCGATTATGGGCAGATCGTTCTTACAATTTATTCCCGGAATCGAAGTTGTAATATCTGGGATAGAGAGTCGCCATGGTGGGTGGGATGCACATGGAGGCCAGTATTCGTGCGTAGGCAGTAAACTCTTGAATTCTACTATATTTTTACGCATTCTTGCAACTGATCTCTCCTGAATAGCTCAGTGTAGGGCATGATTAGTGTGTTGAGTTGCCAACCAAAGATAATGCCGGCAAGTTTCCGTAAATCTCATAGCATGGAAAGTCGGTTGACGAGACTCCGCAATTACTAAAGCACTGGCAGACGCTCGCGGTACACCAAGACATATACAGAGGCTCCTGGCCAACAATCTTTGAATCCTCTCCTCTAAGTTACATGATATCTCATGTAAAACCGGGGCAGAGTAAGCTATTATTTGTCGAATTATTGCTGAATGTACACGCAATAAAGAAGAACATGAACTACCCCATCTCACTCCGGTCAGTCGCCGTAATATATTGATTAGGGAGTTGAATTTGTCCTCTAATGATTTTATCTGTGGTGCCCAAGACAGACGTCTGTCTAAAATAACCCCTAAAAATTTGTGCTGCCGCACAAGTTGTAAGCGCTGAGAGTCTATCTGAAGTTTGAATTTCTTAAGGCATTTCCTTGTGAACGGAAGTACAGACGTTTTCTCATGGGAAAGGATCATGCCTCTGCTCTTAAAAAAGCCATTGATTATTGGCAGCCCATCCTGAAGTTTTTTCTGAACTGCTTGAATGCTCGTGTCTGATGCCCAAATGCACAGATCGTCTGCATATATGGAAAATTTCGAACTAGTAGGTAAGATATGGGATATTTCAGCCATAACGCAATTAAATAAAAATTGGCTTAGTACGCTACCCTGTGGGACTCCTTGACTAACTTCATGCTCTTTACTTTTACCGTCAGCCGTGTCAATGAAGATTTTCCTGTCTCTTAGAAATTCTGCAATCCATCTTAGTGTCTGCCTACTATTCCCAACTGAATTAAACCGTGTAGTACATGAGCGTGGCTGGTTGTGTCAAATGCTCGCTTTATATCTAAAAATACTGCAACGACGATTCTTCCACAGCTCCTCTCATGTTCTACATAAATTACAATGTCTAGAAAGGCATCCATGGTGCAGCGGCGTTTACGAAAGCCTGCCATATTTTCTGGAAGCACGTTCGTACATTCCACCCACAACTGAAGTCTAGCGTCTATCATCTTTTCCATAAGTTTACAAAGACAGCTAGTCAGGCTGACAGGACGGAAGGAATCTATGGATAAAGGCGTTTTTACGGGTTTGAGAATTGGGACCACTCTTGCAACTTTCCAGAAGGGTGGAAGGTACTCGTTGTCCATGCATTATTTTATTATCTTAAACAAAAGTATATGTGGCCACAGGACCCAGGTTTTTTAATGCTGCATTTGTTATCCCATCAGGACCAGCTGCTGTCCTCTGTCGGCACACTACAAGAGCATTATTTAATTCTTGCAGTGAAAACGAATGATCTAGGTCATCATGATGTGTTTTGAGAGAAAAAGTAATCAATGCTTTAATATCCCCAACAGACTTAATGTATTCAGGCGTGTGCCCGGCTGCACTAGGTCGTGTAATATGCTGACAAAATTCGTCCGCAACGGTTGTTTTCGGTACATTCTTCACTAAAGCTAAGGCTCTAAATGGTTGTTGATGTGTTACTGTCCCACTTAAAGAGCGTAGAACATTCCATAATTTTGACTCGGGTGTAAATGGCGTTAGCGAAGTGCAGAAATCCCGCCAGCACTTTTTGCCAAGTCTATCCAGTTGTCGTCTCATGCGGTCATGCGTTCTTTGACAGTCGCGGTAATCTTCAAGTAGACCCGTGCGTCTGTATTTTCTTTCAGCTTTGCGGCGAATGGCCCCAAGTTTTTCGTATTCAGCGTCTACTCCAACGTAACCTTCAGGAATTTTAATGAACTTGGAACACTGATTTAATTTGTTTTTTCTGAGTAAGACTAAGCTGTCAGTGTCAGAAACGGTATCAGCTTGATGTGATATGTGATAACGAAATGCTTGCCAGTTAGTTATCTTTGCTTATGGCTTATATTTAGTAAAGCGTAGTTTTGGATGCTGTATTAGGATAGGTAAATGATAACTACCCACAGTTTCAATGTCTTTTCGCCATGACGCCCCAGATGCAATAAAATGTGAGCAGAGAATGAGGTCTAGGCAACTCGAGTAATTGAAACCCCGTAGGAACGTCACTGAACCGTCATTTAAAAGCGTAATGAACTATCCTGAATTGCTTTTTGTAGGTCCTTTCCGCGACGATCGCAGTACGCACTTGCCCACATGACATTGTGAGCATTGAAATCTCCGCAATATATCACAGCTTTCGTGTACGTCCGGAAAAGTGCTGTCAATGCAGAAAGCGAGATATTTGTGGAAGGCTGGAGATAAACGCTGACTACTGTTATATTTACTTGACCAAATCTAACCTCACATGCTACATATTCTGGATAATCTGATGATGTAGCATTCAACAGTACTGATGGCAGATCTTTTCTCACAGATATCATCGCTCTGCTTGGTCTTGTAGATCTAGAGGACATATACACAATGTAGTTCGATAACCGAAAAGTGATGTCTACCCCGGCCTCTGTAATACATAACACTGGAAAGGAGCTCTGAGCCACAAATTTTCGGAAGTCTGCACACTTAGGGCGAATTCGCATTCCATTGGAAGATCGCGACATTTTGATAACAATTATTCATGTTTTGCCTGCGCAGTGACTGTTGTGGCTAATTCTAACACTACCTGTTCCATCGACAAGATGACTTTGACCTCAGGAAGGTTGTTAGCCTGTGGGATCACGGCTAGTATGGCTTTTAAAGCCGAGAATAACATTGGTATGACAATATGAGCTATCGACACAGAGGAGTTTTCTGGTTGCGTTACACTTACTGGACGCGATGTGCTAGTGCTTTCTCGGATGTTAACCACGTGTTTACTTTTCTCTTGAGGTACCTCCTGAGACTCTTGTCGAGCTTGCTGCTGGCTTGTTGATGTCCCCGCACTTTTCCCTTGCTTTCGTTGTCCTCTTGTAGCTTGCGCGTACGTCACTACATGGTCCTGGCGTTTAGGTGCTTGCGGTCGAGGAGGCCGTGCTGGGTTCATGGTGTTCATGTTGGGCTCAGGCGCGTCATGCTGTTGCGTGCGACCGTAGGTGATGTCATGTTGATATTGAAGAGAAGCCGCCTTGTTCTGTGGGCATCCAGAGAACGACGAAGCGTGGGGCCCCTTGCAATTGTCACACTTAGGTTGTGTTATCGATTTGCAGTCTTTGTTATGGTGGTCTTCGGCACATATTTTGCAGCGCCTTGTTTCTCGGCAATTCTTTGCCAAATGTCCGAACCCCTGACAATTATAGCAGCGTCTTGCTGGGCCCAGATATTCCTCAACTGGATGGCTTGTAAATCCAAGGAATACTTTCTCTGGAAGACGTCTGTCATATCTGAATTGTAAAATCACACTTCTCAGTGGGTGCGATGCTACAGTGCCATTTTTCTTGTCGTATGTAACGAGTCTGGCGTCTAGCCGACATCACTCCTGCCTCTCTTAAATATTCTGTGGGTTGTTCTTCTGTGTACTCTAGAGGCACATGTCTGATTTTGCCTACATTTCGCATGTAAGACTCCGGAATGAATGGCTTCACCAGCAAGCCAGCCACCTGCGCACAAAACAACAAGCTTTTGGCTGAAGCAAGAGCGCTCACGGTGACTGAGAAACTTCCATCTTTGTTCACTCGGAAAGAACGCACTTTCTCTTTAGCAAGTGCAACTATTTCCGAGGCTACAACGTTTGGGTTTACTTTCCAGAAGGTTCTCGTTTCCTCTATTGATCGGAACACTACAGGAATTCCTTCAAATCTACTCTTTTTCTATGTCACTTGAGTGAAAGGATCTGCTTCCTCATCAGATTCAGTATCTTCATCAATAAAGGAGTAGGTCGATGTCCCCTCCGGCATGTTGTCCGTATGCTCTTCCACTCTCACCTTTTTCGCAGAGCTTACTTCGTTCGACATGTCCTCAGATTTCGTCATCGCCTTCAAAACGAGTGTTGGTGCCCTGATGTAAGAAACCATGGTAGAACCAGGTTCACTCACAAGCTCGTTGGTTCCAAAACCACGCCGTGGTAAAGGTGGCCCTTGCCACGCTTGCACATCCTGGCTGGTTCCGTCCACCACGGTGACGGTGAAACGTCGGCGTTCAGTACCGCCACGCCACTTTCTGCTGTCAGGCGTCACAGCTGATGTTGTGCTCAACACTGTAAATAGCTTTTCACGGCTGGAAAAACCTAATTTGCAGGAGCACAGAAAGCAAACAACGTTCTTCTATCACTTCGTCGTCGTCTTAATGACGGCTATCACCGCTTGAGATTATGTTTGAGCCAGGCTGACCACCTCCGGGTAACGAGTGAAGTAACCCATAAGGATAACATATTCTTTAGCTGTGTGCGCAAGAGACACACTTAAATTCCAGGAACACCAATTTTCTACGTCGTTACGTAATATTCAGAAGGGCCGCAATGACGCACACTGTAAAAAAAAAAAAACATTGTCAAAATGACGGTGAATATACCGGCAGCTCTATTTCCAAGCTTATAGCCATCAAAATGAGGACAGGCCGTAATTTTCAAATGACTGCATAATTTTATCACGATGTGTTTCGCATCATTTTAAAATACAAGCAAACCGTCAATTTTATAACATTTGCGTCAAAATAACTAAAGGTTGTCATTTGCAAATGACGGTATTCTCCCATTATATTGACGTTTTATTTAGTGAACTTCATACACAACTAAACTGTCAATTGACAGCCTTTGACCGTCAGAAGTTGTCAATTTTAGACTAATGTAATTACTAATTAGTGTCATTTAACGTCTCTTTGTCAATTAAAACTATTATTAGACCATCAATGTAGCATTTTCTTTTTGAGGTGACAGCAGGCACTGAATGCATTGTCGATAATGGCTCATTAGAAGTTTATTCTGTGTCATTATGAAGTGTAGTGTAGTCTACATCACCATGCCACTGTCATTCGACATGGGTAGCACTGCATAAAATATGCAACGAAAGCTTTTGTGAATACTTGCACAATTATTATTCAAAGTATTTTAAAAAAGCTGAGCACCCTTCGAGCTGCCCCGTTGACTCTCCCTTTACCACAGCGTGTAGTTGGGATGATCTGCCCCTTGTACCCGGGAATGAAAATAGAATGATAAAACAAATCTAGGCTCCATAAACTGTGCAAAAATACATACTTGGCCTTCAGAATTGAAACGCCGGAAATGTGTCAACTGCACTAACTTGTGTGATACAGACACTGCATTATGAAATAAAGAACACCAGACAAAAATTTTGTGCAGCAAATGTAATGGTTTTTGTCATTAGCTGAAAATAGGGGAACATATATAACAGAAAACATTATTACATTACAGTATTGCGAAAAAGTTGTGCTTGTTAAAAAAGGCTAAATATTCAGCATATTGCAACTTTTTGCCAAGGCAAAAAAATAGAGATAAAGTGAGTAACCTATCAGAGTCTTGAAGTAGTAGCGCCTTGACATTAACAAAAACACTGTATCATTATAATTGATCAAACAAGCAATATCATATAAATTATTTAGTGTGACACAGTATCACTTGAGTGCCTAAAGCTTGAAGTGCCATCTACTAGGCAACACAAAGTTCTTTTGCAAAATGTAACGGCTCGATAACTACTACTCGCAATCACATATACCTTCACAATTCTTTTTTAGCATGATCGGAGATGGTCGAAAATTGACCGGGTACGCATGATAAGAAATGACCTAATACATTTGACGTGGCCACCAAAATGGTTGTGACACTTGGCTTATAATGACCCAGGTGTTACCCTTAGATAAACACATAACACATGTCAGTGGAAATAGCTTTACAGATATTGCACAAGAAATAAAATGAAACAACGTTGAGCAGCAACAAATTATCATATGCCTCTTGAAAAAGACATCCTTATTAGGAAAGAAAATAGGAATACAGAATGTAGTTCAAGTTTGCTGCCATAGGCACAATGTTATGAGACAAGCCATTCATGCGTTGAATGGCACAATTTAAAGGTGAACGTATTCGACAGAAATCTGTCTGGCTGGGTCTTCAAAGCTAAAATGGCTGGTGAACCTAATTATTCTTATAAATGGAAAAACACTGAATTTTTGCATTTAGAGGTAGCCTCATTCTCAAATTTTAAGTGCATCCTGCCTGTAATACCTTAGTGGAGCAGGTTGGAACGGCCTGAAGTCCCTCTTACCTTCTGCAAATAACACAGTGTACAGATCAAGTCAGGCCATAGAAAATCAATATTTTGGTTGGAAACTTCATGATCATGCATTGTCGCTTGAGACGGCCTTTCCACAAGCGTGCTTGTATTCTTGAAGGCTGCAGCCTTGAAGAAGACAAGTTTACTTGTCGAAACGTTTTCTCCAGTGACACTCCACGTTCTCAAATTTTCCATCTTTATCTTTCCAAGAACTTTCGCCTTAAATAACAAGCTAAGCTACACAAGTCAGGTTTTGAGCAAAAAATTTGTATATGACCTACTCACCAATGACAGCTAGATGAGGTGTTGCTGGCATCCTCTCCAGGCTCTCTTCACCTGCATGCTGGGAATTCAAAAGCAAAAATTCAGTTAAACTCGGGAGAAAAATTGTAATAACCAGACACATATCTTAAGCAGACATCATAACCAAACTTCTAAGGGCCGCCTTGCATTGTTTAACATAAGCAGCTGATAACGCAGTTCATATTACAAGCCTACACACTGTTCAAAAGAAGAAATAACACGACAAAATAAAAGATATAAAAAAGACGGCATTTCGACTTCCATAAAAGCCTTCTTCACAATGAGGCCAAGAAACTGGCTTGGGTGCATGGGGAGAGTTGGCCTGGACATCAAATTTGAGGTAGTAGTTTAGAAGACATAATTCAGGATCTGGTCTGTCTTTACAAATGGAATACACGTGTAACCAGAAATGGTAAAACAAGTAGTATAAATAAAAAAAAAGTTGTGAGATATTGAGTACATACCTCGCTTGGCAGAGTGAAAGTTGCAGTGACATCCATGACCAAATGTGCTTGAAGTTGACCCGTCTACGCCACAAGGTGACAGTTGACCCTTCAGACTAGGCCTGTGAACCAAAGACGATTGATGCTATTAGCAGTCAGTCAATGATGTCTATTAGACAGTTGCATGGAGTAACTTGCATACAAACTTGCAAGCACGTGACACATCTCCTAGAGTCGTCCTAAACCTACTGCGTTTTAAGTGCAGTGCTTGCACATGTCGATAACACTGCACTTAACTCCAGTTTGTCAATTTTTACAAAGTGATATCTGCTGCTTTCATAAGCAGTAACTTTTCTTTTAAATAATTCAGTCAGCCCACCCGCATGATTGCTCTTGGTACAATGTTCCTCAAAATACACTCTGTTTTTTCCTATCTTGGTCTTTTTCCGCGACGTATATAGGCTGCTGTATGCATTTACAAGCTATGGTAACTTTCGATTTCGAATCGCGAATCAGGGTAGAATTGCCCGATCGCAATCAGATAACAACGTCTGCCTCTTATGCCGGCTAGCGGTCGAGAACCAGAGTAAGAAATTGCGGAAGAGCTGCAGTTTTCAGCCGCAGTACTAGACAAAAAAAAAAAACTATTTCTGGTTGACGTATAATTTTACAAATTCGCGGCTGTATCGTCCACATTATTTAGTTCCTCAGAAAAGTGATGATCATCATGGGCTTATAGCGCAGGTATTATAACAAACAGATGAAAAGGAAGAACAAAAAGTGCTTACGAAACATCTTCATAAGGTACTCTCAATGTATTCAGCGGTACATAAGATGATAACGCGCTCGGCCAATCGATTCCGGTCCTTGCACCATTAACCACTTTCAATCGCGATCGAAAGTGCGCGATAAGTGCAATAAACACGCGCTAATGCTCCTTGTACGCTCACGTTTTCTTTTCTGTTTTTTTTTTCACAGAAAAAGGACCTTTCTTTTTTTTATTATTAGACACAAGCTGATGCCTGAATATCGCTGCACGTGGTTCAGCCGCCTCGGCGTGAAAGCACCCCCCATGGCGGCGGTGTCGGGCTAACTCCAACGATGCATGCACGTCGCTCGAATGCATACTGCAAATAGAGAATTCGTACAGACGCACGAAAGAAGTCATCTCCACAACCCGCGAAAACTAGCGCTTGCTTCTTCGCTACTGGCAAACTAGGTGACGTATTAAAACCATGGACAGCCGAAGGATGTAGGCAGACGAAAGAAGTCGAAAGCACACTCACCTTGATCCTAAGTTTAGGCTGGAGCGTCGAGAAGAGCGCACGTTGCACGGGCCCTTGGTCTTTCTAGTGCACCACGCAAGAAATAAGACAAAATGGCGCGCCAAGCCGCAGGCTGCTTACCGACACGAAAAAACAACCGCACAAAGGCCGAATAAACGCAAAGGAACAGGTTGGTGGTGGTGGTAGAGGTTCGGTGAAGAAAGGAAAAAGACACCCATTTCTGCAGCCCTTAAGTTAGCACGACGCAGCGTCTAAACAGGTTGGCAACGCATGCACCAGCTCGTTCGGCTGTCCCTCTCTCTCTCTGGCCCAGCAGCGGCGGCTTCCTTTCCACTGTCTCGTGGAGGGGTGACCTAAAAGGAGTGAGAGAGTGAATGAAGTGTCACATGACGTGTGGTAGCCAACCGAAGTGCACTAGAGGCCTTTCTCCCTTTCTGTCTCTCATCCCTGCTTCTCTCCGCTCGCTAATTTTTCTTATGGTTCCGAAAAACAATCTGAAATGCTTTTATTTTCCAACGGAATTTTTGGGGCTACTTCAGGCGAAAAGCTGCAAAGTACAGCTTGAATGTGCCTGAAGGCCCTCACATGGCAGCAGTAACACTAAAACCAGCATACATACAGATGTCTTGCATATATCCAAATATAATACACCATTTTAATTGAAACTAGAAATTTGCAACATGCTGAATAACACTAGTGATTTCCTACGAACACATGGTACATAAAAATAACATAAAAATTTAATACATATGTGAGAAGAAATGTGACAATACATGGTGATACATCAGAAACAATAGTATTTACAACTCTAAGAAAAGCACTGCTCTAAATATGATTAGAGGCACAATATGATGATACTTGTATATTGAAACACTGAGCGCGAAGTACATACAACAGAAAATGTGAAAATGTAATAACGATGTTTTTTATATGTTAATTCCGATTTAAAAATTATTCTCTAATTTGTTTGCGAGTCAAAGTATTTGGATTAAATCTTTTCCCTTCCACTTCATTTAACAACGAAGGTAGGCTATGCCGTAGTGACTGCATAAGATAATTTGTGCGTCTGAATTGTACTAACCACCTCTCTTGGCTACGAGTGCGTGAGTCACTTTTTTGTATTCGAGTCGTGACGTATGTTTTAAGAAGAATTTGATATTGTTGGAGCCGAAACACAAGGAATATAAAAGTCGGTATTCGTAAAGATTCGTTGTACGTATCAAATGACGGCGGAGCCCCCTTCCTCTGCGTTTGACGCCAACGACTCGTCAAAATTGATGAAGAGATGGTTGTCTAAATGACGGCCCCGTTTCGCAGTGCAGTAGCATCATCTGTTGGTGTGGCCATTATAGTTGATCAGGGCGTAGCATGTACACATTTACCACTACAAACATCCTTTGAGGCAGTGGCTGTTCGGGCAGTTCTTTTGAACAAACCTGACACCATCTGCTCTTTTACATACCTCCACAACAGCGAATTCCAGTCACTGATAGATGCACTACCGGAACCTTATGTGGTCATTGGGGACTTGAATGCACATAATGGTCTATGGGGCGACTCTCGCTCCGATTCACGATGTCGCCTAATCGAACAGTTTCTCAGTTCTTCGAGTACGTGTCTCTTGAATAGAAAAAAAAACCTACTTTAGCCATGCCAGTAAAACCTACTTATGCATAAATCTCAGCATTGACTCCCCATCGCTTGTACCCCTGCTTCAATGGAAAGTGATCAACAATGATTTTGAAAGTGCCCATTTTCCGATCATTTTAAGTATGCCAATAGAGGTCTTCCACATGTTCCCAGATGGCAGACAGACAAGGCGGACTGGGAAAAGTTCAGAGAAACTATTCGCTTAAGCAGGTCAGACATATGTCAATTGAGTATAAATGCAGCTGTAGAATTTTCGACAGCACTTCTTATTGATGCTTCAACAAAGTGTATCCCACAAACCGGATGGTCAACCATGTGATACGTCCCTTGTTGGAACAGCGAGTGTCGAAATGCATGTAGAAATCAAAATAAAGCTTGGAAGCTGCTTCGAGACTGTCCGACAGCGTAGAATCTTTCAAATTTTAGAAACATAAAGTCTCAAGACGGGAGGACGCGCCGACAGGCCAGAAGTAAAAGTTGACACACCTTTATATCATACATCAATTCATACACCCAGGAGGCTAAATTCTGGAACATGGTTAGGAGAATCGCAGGAAGACAAGTATATTCACTTCCTTTCGTAAACACACAAGGTGACAACTTGCAAAATCAAGCAAACTTCCTCGACGCACACTTCGAACAAATGTTCAGTTCATGACACTATAGTGAAGCCTTCTAAAGATACAAAACAAGAATTGAGAAGCAGAAACTAGAACACAAATGTACAATACACGAAGCATAACACCAAGCTGTCAGCTTAGCTTAGCTGCAAACATCACTAAACTCCTGCATTCATTCCGCCCCAGGTACTGATCGTGTGGTGTATCAAATGTTGAAAAACCTAGCATTCGAAGCACAAGAAACCGTACTTTGCTTGCACAATTCTATCTGGTTTTTAGGCGCTATCCCCACTACCTGGAAAGAGGCCATAATTATTCCCATTTTGAAAGAATGCAAGGAACCTTCCTCAGTTTCAAGTTACAGGCCGTTTGCATTTACAAGCTGCTTGTGAAAACTTTTCGAAAAAAATGATAAACTGCCGATTTGTGTATTTTCTTGAAACAAACAACTTGCTCGACCTATTTCAGTGCGGATTTCGAGAGGGTAGATTCATCACCGACCACCTTGTTCTGTCGAGGCTCAGATCAGAGACGCTTTCATCTACAAACAATATTTTCTCTTTGTGCCCCACGCTATGGAAAAAGCTTACGATACAACACGGCGCTGTGGACTACTAAGAGACCTGTCCCACCTTGGCGCACGTGGCCGAATGTTTACCATAATTGAAAGTTACTTGTCAAATCGGACATTCCGTGCCCGAGTGGGCAGTGTTCTCTCCAAAGCATTTGTCGAAGAAAGAGGAGTGCCGAAAAGTGGTGTACTTAGCTGCACAATTTTTATTATGAAAGCGAATTCTTTGCGCTTGTCCATCGCTCAAGTTAAAACCAAGCTGCACGTCATCGACATATGTGCACTAAAATGTAACTTGTAATCTGGCCATGTGGAAGCGGCAGGTTCAGCTCAGTTTGAACAAAGTCCGACTGTATGCACAGAAGAGCATGTGTGTCTTGTTATTCACGAAGAAAGGCATCCATTCCGAACGCGATATTCCACTCTTTGGGCAACGTCTTTCCCTTAATACCGAACACACATTCTTAGGCCTGATCTTGGACACCAAGCTAACCTTCATACCACACATCAAGTATCTAAAAAACAAGTGCATAAAAGCCCTGATTGTTCTAAAAGTGTTGTCACGCACTACGTGGGGAAGCGACAATAAGTGTTGATGATATTTTACAAGCCTCATAGTATTCGCTTAGATTATAGGACAATAGCATTTCAGTTTGCGACATCTATTGCTCTTAAAATGTTTGACCCTGCTGATCATCTAGGCATCCGCCTCTCTACGGGTTCTTTTCGCTCAAGCTCCATGAAAATCGGACTAATGGTCGCTCCACCAACAGAGATGTTACATGTCTTTTAAATATTATCTTAATGTAAATGCAGACAAGGAGCATCCCTCCCATTCTACAATTATAGATATGTCAAGCCTTGCTGTGTTTGAGAAACGACCTTCTATGAGACAGCCGTACTCACTCCGTGTGAAGAGCCTAGCGAAGCAAAATGGTGTGCCACTAGAACACCTTTTGATGGCTCCTGCAGTATGCCTGCCACCGC